GGTTTTTCAAAACAGGGTTTCTCTGTTTAGCCCTGGCTGTCCTGGAACTTGCTCTGTAGACCAGGCTAGCCTTGAACTTAGACACTGCCTGCCCCTGCCACCCGAGTGCTGTGTTGTGTTTCTTAAGAAATGAAAATGTCTGGAGAGATGGCTCAATGGGTAAAAGCACTGGCTGCTCCTACAGAGGACCCAGGCTCAATTCTCAGCATCCACATGGCAGCTAACAGCCATCTGTAACCAACTAACACCCTTTTCTGGCCTCCTTGGGTACTGCACACATGTGCGCCATAGATCAAAATGCAGAGAGAAGACACAGACTAGGCAGGGTATTCTACCATGCTCTCACTCAGTTGGAAGATAGTGATGCATGCTGTTTTAAACATTTTACTTGTCTTCTTCCTTCACCAGACCTAGCATTAAATTCCCTTTTTAGCAGTGATAGGGGCTAGCAGTGCATAGATTCAACCAAGCCAGAATCTATGCCCAGATGTGATTATGTGGTTGTGGTAGAAAGGTGTTAGAAAACTGTAGAACAGTGCGTCTCAGGCTTGTGTGAAAGCAACCCTCCATAAGAAACCTTTAAATAAGTAAAGGTCAGTACATGGCCCAGTGAGTGAGCACTTGCTGCCAAGCCTGATGACCTGAGTTGGATCCCAGGGACCCACACAGTGGAAAAGGAGGACTGGCTCCTGTGAGCTTTTGTCCTTTCTTTCCAGACTTGTGGACTATCATGCATACTGCTGTTTTATATCTCCTTCCCTTTCTCCCTCCCTCCTCCCTTTTCTGAGACCAGCTGGCCTGGAAGGAACTCAATATGTAGAACAGCCTGGCTTCAAACTCACAGAAGTCTGCCTGCCTTAGCCTTCCATTTGCTGGAATTAAAGGTGTGTGCCATCATATCTGGCCTTATTTTTGTTTCCACTTACTTACTTTTCAAGGACCCGTCTTAATTGGAGACGAAAGTGTCAGAATCTATGGCTGTCTTAGCAGCCTTAAAGTCCTGAACATCACCTAAGCACTGGGAGATGGGCCACGCCCTGCAGCAGGTGCCTAGGCTTGGAGTGGGATAAGGCTGTTCAAATTCCCATCCTTCCAGTTGTGCCATATGACCTTGGAGTAGTCAACAAGCCTCAGTGTACTTGTTGATAAATAGGGGCCATCCTAAAGGAGTCAGTGCCTCTGAAACACAAAGCATAACCCCTCCCACAAAGCCAGTGCCCTGTGTGTGTTAGCCGCGATGTCACCTGTGGCTCAGGGAGGTAACTGCAGCATCCATTCTGTGACTTCTGCTATTACACCGTCCCAGTCTGACTTTTATTCTGTACTATGGCCCGGGACCTCACATCTTCATTCCTGCCTCTTCTTCCTCTTCATAGCTATTGGCCTCGGCTCATAAGAATTATGGAAAAGACTGTCCTTCCTTGGCAGGTATAGCTGGTCTCCTCAGCCTTTGCTTTGTTTGTTACAGTAACACTGGGTAGCTCTGAAGTAACTCATCCCACCACCACCCAGATGCCAGACGCCTCAACACAGCCTTTCTCCACACCACGACAGCCTACAGAGTCTCCAGTGGGAACTGAGGTCATGCCTACCACTGAGGAGTTTACACACACCAGCTCTGTTTTGACTCCAGTGGCCCCTCAGGGCCCCAGCACGCCCTCTTCCATCTGGACTTTTGGGCATTACAAGGTAAATCTAGCACAGAATCGGATGAGAAAGCCCAATCTCAAGGGGAGTCTTTTCCTCTGCCCTACTCAGGGACCCTGGGTAGGTACTTTAAGGAAAAGTTGTCTATTTCCCTTCCCATCTCTTTCCTCTGTTCTGATCCAGGCTTCTGAAATGGCCCGGCAGCCAGGTACTCCTGGCTTTGAAACTGACCAGCCATGCCTGCAGCTGCTATGTGCACTTCTGTGCCATCTGTTCTCACAAAGGGAGACTCAAAGATCAGCTGACTTTGTGCCTAAACCTTCATCTTTTGACCCCCTCTAGCTAAAATGTGATCCTGCTGTAATGCCGGGTGAGGAACTCCTCATTCTGAACCTCACGGGAGCCAGCCTTTGTGTGAGTATACACGCCCGGGCCCCACTTCACCCAACACCCCACCCAGTCTATGAACCCCTCAAAGGGAGCAGACTTTTCCGATCCAGGCTTCAGCCTTCTTAGTCAGGCAGAGCATGTGCAGTCTCCTCAGTTTTCACTGCTGCAGGTGTTCTGGTTGCAGTTCCCACGGCTCTGGGTATGTGTGGTGTTGGTAGGTTTTGCTGGGCCATGTGGCTCTGGCCTCTAATTCCAGCTAAGTCGGAGGCAGAGACAGGAGGACTGAAGTCACGGTGGGCCTTGGTTACATAGTATAGCCATCCCTAACAACTCACAGACTTTCTCTTTAAAAGTAACAAGAGTGCAAGAGATAAAGCTTAGGAGGTCCTCAGTTAAAGCTCCAGCAGTGACTGTCCTGAGTGAATTCGCATTTCCTGGTCCCTTGCACACATCTCTATCAGAGGGTGTGGACCAAGGGCTGGGTTGGGCTTGGTTGGGCTACACAGCACTCAAGCTACTGACCTCCTTGGCACAGGTGTTGGCCAGCTCGTTGCTGTCCTCTACTGGCCAGTGCCAATTTTTGCAGCCTCTTCTGGGAGCAAGGACAGAAGAGCTTGGTTTCTCCCTAGTTTTTGGCTCTGCTTTTGTTTTCTTAAAAGGTTCTATTTTGTTGACACTTACCGAGTGAACTATAGAAGCATGCATTTAGCCACAAGAGGTTTAGAGCAAGCAGTGTTGTTCTGGGATTCTGAGCTTTGACAAGAAGACAGGAATAGCACTGAAATTGCCCCCGACACATTGTTTAGGTTAAAGCCCATAGGCTGTGTATTGCTAGTGGGAAGCATTTCTTCCCTTCTCTAGAAAAGGAAGATGGAAAGTGCTGGATCCACTCCTGGTAATGGAGTACCGTGCTACTAGGCCTGAGAAAACTGCACGTGGCAAGTGTAGGGGTGGCGTGTAGGAGACCTAACAGATGCTGGGGGGAAGAGCTCATGTTTTCATCTCAGCCCTTAACTGGCAGCACTGAGTAAAAGCCCACGCATAGCCTCTACCTCACCCTCAGCCCTAAAGCTATGTTTCTGTGTTCTTATGGCCTAGGTCTGTGTAAGTAACCCTGTGGACTTCCTCAGAACCCCCATACTGCCCATTTAGTGTGCCTCCTTTTCCCCCTCAGTCTTTCTGGCCACATTGTTAGCATATGGATAGGGGCAGGGATATTACTTAGAGGTATTTTCTATCTTAGAGAGCTCTGTGGTCTTCCCACCGGAGGTCTGTAAAATGGGCACAAGAGGCTAGAGCATGGCAGGTTTGAATCCCTGGATTGCCTCTCTCCTCTGGCAGTGCTTTACAATTTTATCTACTCCCAGTGGAGGCACATTAATACAGCTACTGATTCCAGAGCCTCAGGGAACTTGCAGGGAGGAAAGGGGAACCTGGGGGAGATGGTATGACATGCAGACAAGATGCACAGGTTGAGGGAATGGGAACAGAACTTGGAACAGAGTGGACAGGATAAGGACTAGCCCAGGAGAAAAGTATAAAACCTGATTCCTGGCAATCTAGGAACAGAACCAGTGAAGTATGAAGAAGGGGTTCTGGCAGGATGAGAGCATTTGGGGCAGACCCACCAGCCCAAGCTGTTGTCACAAACCTCAGGAATTACCCATGTTCTCTGTGCAACAGGAAGGGAGCCCTCCGAATGAAAAACTTGTGGAGCTGCTGTGCCATTCCATCAAAGCCTCCTTCAACTCGGCTCAAGATCAGTGCACTCTACAGGTGGCACCTATTCTAAAGAGCCAGGCAGTGGCAATGAAGAGAGTCACTATTGAGAGTGAGTGGAGGGTAAGGGACCCTAGCCTGTGTGGGTGGGAGTACCACAGAAGGATGGTGGGGGTGGGGCCACCTAAGAAGTTACAAGCCAGGAAGCATCCCAGGAGACCGGGGAGACTAGGATGCAGGACATCCTTGTCCTGGGTACCCCTCTGCCCTTCCTGTATCACTCTGGGCTGGACCCTGGAGGAAGCTCTCTCCCTCTTTCCCACAGCGAAGCTTCTTCCTAAGGCTGTGTATGAGCTGCTGAAGGAAAAATGGGATGACCTGAGAGAGGTAAGCAGCTTTACTCTGTACTGTCCTAAGTTCAGCGTCCTCTGGTAGAGAATGTCCTTTGAACATACAAGTATCTGGAAGAGAGGCATATAGGAGTGGACAAGGCAGGTGGTGTGGGATAGGGGGCAAAAGACCCACACAGAAGGGCTCACAAATGAATGGGGTGGAGACAAGGCCCGACTGCTTTCTGCCACTCAAGTTCTCTTTCTTGGCTAGGCGGGAGTCAGTGACATGACACTGGGGAGGGAAGGACCACCAGAAGCCAATGAGGACCGCTTCAGCCTGCCACTCATCATCACCATCGTCTGCATGGCATCCTTCCTGCTCCTTGTTGCTGCCCTCTATGGCTGCTGTCACCAGCGCATCTCCCAGAGGAAGGACCAAGTAGGTATTTTCCTACTCTAGCTAGCCCAGTCACCCAGTGAACTCTCACTCCATCCCTTCACACAGTGAGTGGGCCTGGATCCTTCTAATAGTGAGTGCGGCTCTTGTCCCCACTATTAAGCTAGCTTGTCTCTAACTCAGAAGACTCAATGTGGCGGCAAGAACAGAAACCCTGGGTGTTAAGTCCTGGCTCTGTCTACGTCTGTGAGTCAGTCATAGCCATTTGCACAGTGGGTGTGGTACCTTACAGAGCTGTTCCAGAGATTTAAGGATATATGGCCTTAGGCAAGTGCCCCTCTAACCAAAACTTCTTCCACCTGACCTCCTGGTGTAGTGGCACACATCTGTAATCGCAGCACTTGGGAAGCTGAGGCAGGAGTATCACAAGTTTGAGGTCAGCCTGGGCTACACAGCATGACCCTGTCTCATAAAACTCTTCATCTTTACAGTGCCATTCTGCTGTGGGTCTCAACTGTAGCTGCAAACTACTGAGTGCATTAAGAAAGTTCCCACACCCAGTGACTTTATATACTGAATGAGGCATTAGTGATGGCAATGTGTATCCCTGGCCAAAACTCAAAGCACAAACTATTACCAGACTACATGGAAGGCCATAAGGGCCACTATGTTCACTGTCCATTGGAACAGTCCTGTCAGCTGGTCCAAAGCAGTTTTGTTTTGTCTTGTCTATTATTGATTTATTATAAAGTAGGAACTCTGAGAGGTCTTACAGGGAAGAATGGAGGAGAGAAAAAAGAACTTTAGGACAAAAAGTCTTAAAATCTCTCTCCACTGATGTCACAGATTGCTACAGGAATAAAGGGAGAGAGCAGCTGATAATTTTAGGACATAGGGAAATATTCACGAGGTGGTCAGGCAGCTGGGTGGCCTCAAGAAGAATCTGGCCCTACAAATGAGCCACAAGCATTTACTCTAGCCAACTTAAGGTCCCTGGGTTGAATGGGGAGATATATTTCATATTCAAGTTCACAGATCTCCAAACTTGTCTTCTTCTTGGGGTCATTTTTCCCACTCTAGCAACGACTCACAGAAGAGCTGCAGACAGTAGAGAATGGTTACCATGACAACCCAACCTTGGAAGTGATGGAGACTCCTTCTGAGATGCAGGAAAAGAAGGTGGTCAACCTAAACGGGGAGCTGGGGGACAGCTGGATCGTCCCCCTGGACAACCTGACCAAGGATGATCTAGACGAGGAGGAGGACACCCACCTCTGAGCAGTCTGCTAGCTCCCCTGACAGCACCGCAGCGCTCCAGACCACCCAAAGTGCCATTGGACAGAGGGGAAGGGAGAGTGGACTCCAAGGGCTGCCTCCTCCCAATCCCCACAGGGCCTTAATTTTAATTTTCCCCTTTCAAGTTCAACGAAGTCACATTCTGTCCAGTTTCCTCGTGTAAAATAACCCACTTGTGCCTGAGCCGCTGGAAGGCGAGAGGATGATGGAGAAAGCCATGTAAGGGGCTTTGGTGCGTCTAGTGGTGGGATCCTCTCAGCTTGTGAGATGACCGAGGCCTCAAGAGGTCAGGTGACTTGCACAGGGTCACACAGCCATTTGGTGACAAAGACTGTTTCCTTAGTATGGTGCTTAATTGCACCATGCCGTGCTACTGTGTTCACTTGTGCCCACTCTCCAAGGCACAAGATGCTTGGCTGGGGGGGGGGGGCTGGAAAGAAAAACAAGCCCCATGGTCTCAAAAGGACAGGTCCTGTAATATGGTCTCTGCTCGCTTCTTGTAGCCCATCTCCCATGAGTCAGTCTTTAGGCCCACTATTTCCCAGGGCATGACTTTGAACCTCTTTTCTAGATTCTGATTTCCTTGACTTTGCTTAATGGAATTGGGACCTAACCCACACAGGCCTCAATAGCCAATGGAGTCTGCCTCAAGGGTGGGTGGGCAGGCAGAGAGAGAGGGAGCTCATGCCCAGATGGCTTCCTCATGGCAGCTGATTCTGTACTGACACTGGCCTAACACCCGAGGCGCTGCTAGAAGACACTCCCCAAAACGAATTCTGCCTTTCTTCATCCACTAGGAACAAATCTGCAATAGCTACTGAAAGCAAGATGTTCCCTTTTTGTTGTTCACTGCTGAACTGAGAGGGTGACTCCTTGAAACCCAGTGTCACAGAGCAACTGTCTAGAGACAGACATGTTCTGGGGTCCTGACTGGTCCCTGATCAGCATATGTGTCTCAGTAGACAACGGATCTAACCTACCAGGCATTAAGGTTCCACAGGAAGCTCAGGGACTTTCCAAGTTGCTGAGACATATGTTGTGTATATGTTTAGTTCCGCTTCCCACTGCCAAAGGCCAAAGCTCAGACCCTGGAGACTTTTGGCTAAGTTCTCTACTTCGCACCCTCCTTTGCCATGGAGAAAGAAAAGCCCATAACATGTAGTTTTAAGGTACCCGCTCTCCCAGTATGGAACCAGGCTTTTGTTTCCTGTGTTCTCTCGGTGACACTCAAGCTGTCCCATTTCTGGTGGCATCTCAGGGAAACATAAAACCATGCTTAGTAGCTAGCACAGGATTTTTATAGGCTTAGCGGTGTCAGGTGGCCATGTACAAGGCTGCTGAGGGTTTTCTTAGGGGTAAGGGGGTCCTGTGTGGAGCTCTGATCTTGGCCCACAGTCTGTTTTGTTCTTGGGCATAAATTCCCATGATCAGCTGTCTGCTTTGGAGCCTGTGGGAGGACAGGTGTCCTGCCTACTTCCACCTTCACAGCTGTCACCCTGAGATAGATGCTAGGGAGAAACGGCTGCCAAAAAACAAGGAAGGCTCTTAGTGAGGTTCACAGGAACTTGAAAGATGCCAACAAGAACCCAAGAGCCCCTTGGCTTGCTTCTCTCAGATTTGCAAGGGAGGGTGGGGAGCAGTGCTAACTGGAGGGGAAGTTAGGCCTGTTTGCTTCCTGCATTAGATTCTGTCACCCAGTGGGTTCATTCTGATACGGCCTGTGTGAGAAACTCGACAGGATTTCTTCTCCGTCACTACTTCAGGGTCACAGTGCACGGGGCAAGGCCATTTGACAGACAGCAAATACCATTTCTGCAAACGGGTCACAGACTCCAACCCCTCAGCCCCTCAGACAGGACTGCAAGAGTAGACGAAGGGTATTGTATCTTGGCTGGAGGAACAGTCGTGACTCTGCCCAAGCTGGTTGGCCCTTGTGTTGCCTTTTAGTACAGCTCGAGAATTTGATATCTAGCCGCAGTTTGTTCTCACTGCTGGACATCTGCTCAACAGGACACACTTTGGACAACATACTGGTGAAACTGAAGAATAAGCTGAAATCGGCATTTACCTATTTTTGAGATGTAAATACAAGGGCCAAACGCTTGTTTACCCAGCACTGCTTTCAGAGTAAACTTTGGGGAAACATTTGGTAGCTAGGAGAGATAGCTAAGCCTTTTTTTCTCTGAAGAATGTAAATGTTGGGCTAGAGAGATGGCCCAGAGGTTGAGAGCGCTGGCTGTTCTTCCCAAGGTCCTGAGTTCAATTCCCAGCAATCACATGTAGCTCACAACCATCTACAATGAGATCTGGTGCCCTCTTCTGGACGGCAGGCACACATGCAGGCAGAATACTATATAAGTAATACATTTTAAAAAAAAAAGGAGAAAAAGAATGTAAATGTCTAGTAGAAGTAACTTTTAAAAAATGAAAACTGTAACAAGACAGGCTGGTAACAAAGTATTTCCCTTGTAGATAAGGGGCTTTAAAGTTTAAACTATTACCCTTGCTCCTCCCTAGCCAAATCTCAATCCTACTGCGGTGTGGGGTAGAGTTCAGAATGTGCTTAATGGGTTGTGACAGTCACAGGGGAAAAGTTTGGAGCTACAGATCAGTCTTCCTATAGGAAGACACATCTGAAGCCACAAAGTGAGTGAAGGAGTCAAAACCAACCCGGTGACAGACAGATTCTGCCCACCCTGTGCTGTGTGTTTCTCAAGCACTCACAGGACACCACCAGTCCTTCCCCACAATTACCCTGACAATGCTGGGGAGGATACAGGGACACAAACAGCCATGTGCTGGGTTCTGGAATCATTTGGGTCCAAAATGTAAATAAACATTATCGGGGTTTGTTTCTTCCTCTCAGTTAGGAAATAATTTTGAAAACTCACTGAGGAACGTGCAGTAGAACAAGGATCAAAGGGAATACACAGCAAGGCAGAGGGTGGGAGAAGCCCTGCAGCAGAGCTCTTCACTGCCAGTCACCTGCTGCTTCCCTCAGGCCTGCTGAAAACCCAACACTGAGCAGGGATCATTGTTTCATGGGGCCTTTCTGTTTCTTAGTGAATGTCAGCTTGCCCAGGAGCCTGGGGAGCATATGTTGTAGAGGACAGGGGTCTGACGTACACTGGAATTTACTGAGAAACTATTGCATTTTCTTATAAAGTATATTTTGGAAAAATGTATACTGTCAATTAAAGTGCTTTTCTGTACAATGGCTCAGGCCCTAGTGTTTGCTGTGCCTTAAATTCTTTACCCACACACCTGAAGACATCAGCTATTTCTTAAAAGTCTTTGGGTACGGTCTTCTGCTGCATTCCACCAGTAGGGGGAGATGCCGGAATAAAGGAGTGGAGGACTTCAGGGTTAGAACCTGAGGGGACCTCATCCCCCCTTTGCACTAATTTATAGATGTGTCACCTTCTAACTCTCCTCTACTTCTGCCTGGAATGTAATTGTAAGTGACCACCACTAAAGAAAATATAATGCCTACTTAGTATGAAAACACTGGTTAAGAGATTAAAAAGGAGTATGCTAGAAACCAGCTCAGTTCTGGCCCTGTTTCTGGCCATAGAAAGTTGCTACAAGAGACTTTGTGCCTGTCTTTTCTCACATAGTGAAGGGGGTAGTTGATGGACAGGAAGGTACTGGTTCTTTACATCTCTTGGCTGCTAACATTACCAACAGCCACATTATCTCAGGGCAGGGGAACCCCAAATTCCCAGCTTGAAGAAAAAGACTACCCTACAGATCTGGGCCCATATTAATCTCTGCCTTAACAAAAACAAGGTACATGGCAAACTGCAGACTTCCTCTCTTGGGCCCAGGCCTTGACTCCATCTTTTCTCTCTTCGGTGCCGATTCTTCATACCATCATGCTTATTCTAACAATAAAATTTCTAGATTGTAGCCACAGTTACAATTTTTCCTTAATCTTTTGTGTGCTGGTAAGCAGGTGACACCCAGAGGGGTGGGTCAGAGTTAGAGCAAGGGTATTTTGAGGTTAACCTCATGAGCATGCCAAAGATACAGAAAAGATCCAAATGCCAGGAACTCCCACAGGACCATGGGCCTGCTCAGGCACACTGTTCTAAGAGTGACTCACAGTTTATCACAGACCACAAACTAGATCTCAGGCTCCATTCTCTTCCTGAGTGGGTCACTGACTTGGCTCCTGGCCATAACAATCTTGAGATCCTCTCAGCTGCCCACTTTCCCCATTCTAAAAGCTCCTTCCTAAACCATCTCTCTTCTATACCCAAAATAAGGGGAAAAGAAAGAGAAAGAGAGAAAGAGAGAAGAAAAAGAAAGAGAGAAAGGAAGAAGAGACTAGTTATTCTAATGAACACTTAGGGAAAATGCTGAATGAGCATTTTTTTCAAACATCATGGCACTTCCTCTTAATAAAACCAACAGGATCCTCACAAACCTGATTTGCTGCTTCCTCAACGAGTTGAGACTGATCAACACTATGTACCAGTTTGCATTGTATATACAACACTCATCTCTTGGATTTTGCCAATCATCAAAACTTTTCAAAACAGCAGCCCGATCGTCATTTTCACCTGGTTTCTCTCTTCCCTGGAGTGTCTCTGGCAAGCATGTATCTGCCTTGATGTTCCTGGCTTAGTGCACAGGGCAGTCTCTGGACATCGAAGGCGCTGCAGAGCAGGAAGGGCTGGGGAACATGAAGCATCACCTCAGCTGCCTCACATCTCATCTTCCAAAACACAAAAACTGCACAGGATATACAGCATAACAAAGCCAGAGGAAAGAGCAGACACAGAGCAGCACAGGTTCCTCCCAGCAGGGCCAGCTGAACCTGCAGAACCCTGCTGTTGTGTACATGAACAGTACTCCAGCCCACCACCCCACTTCTATGAGCTCTGGTTGTCACTTGGGAGGAATTACATGTGTGTGGACACTCAGGCCATAAAGCCTTAACTTCTGATCTGTAGGCCTGTACATACTGATGGGAGCAGCTGGCATCTTAAAGGTGCCTTGCTTTTTGCTGTCTTCCGGATAGGAGATAGTGACAAATTTGTCATCGTGTTTCTCATTTTGATCCCTTTAATTCTCAGGAGGATTAACCAAGGAAAGGGCAATTTTTTAGCTTATCACTGTACCTCATGTTTTCCTGTTTTGAGAACACAAAGAAATATTACTTCTGAGCCACACTAAAGTACACCCTAGAAATGAAAGCTACACAGGAAGACGTTGATTTTCAAGTTAAATTTAAACCCTAGTTTGAATATATATCTGACAATGCAGGCTCATAAAGCCTGGAGCACTTGAACCCTACCCAATGACAGGCAGAGACCCTGCTTCAGAGAGCCCACCCATAGAACTTAACACCAACAATCTGCACTTCCACTTGGTCTATTTATGAATCTATTTTGTAGGTCTGGCCCCTAAAGAGTCTCCTCTATGGCAAAGACAGACTTTTGCAAACTTTGAAGTACAGCTAGCTTCTCTTCCTTTACTTTTCCTACAATTAATTTTGTTTCAGTCTAGTTTTCCTTGTACCTTTAATATAGTACAACTAAAACCCAGGAAACATGTTCAAACCCTCAAAAAAGTTTAATTGCTGATTGCCAACAACACAGTATTTTTTTCCCATGAAACAATTTGCCAATATTTTTCAAAAATGGAAACTTCCCCAGAAACTCTTTGAGCGTGACCAGTACTTTACTTTACTGGAGCACTATCTATCTCAGAGGAAAACTCCCAAGGCCTCTGCAGCCAACACCGTCCATCTCTGAAAGCCTGAGGAAAAAACAAAATCTTAAAGACAGGCTCTCATGTAGCTCAGGTTAGCCTCAAAACTGCTATGTAGATGAGGCTGACCTTAAATTCCTTATCCTGCATGCCTCCTATATACTGAAATTACAGACATGCGTACCTCCCCACCCCCGTGCAGTTTATGGAGGGGATGAATTACATCTAAAATCTCCTGCATGCTAGACAAACATTCACAAACATTCTACTAACTATTCCTCCGATAAATGTAATTTTTAAGTTTCAAAGTAATTTTGTCAAACACAAAACATCATGCATTCATATATAACTTTTTATTAAGAAAATGAACAAAATACATTCTTTCTCCATATGTACATTACATACAACATAATTCTACAATTGCAGTTGCTCAGCAGAGATCACTCGTTTATTCACAAAGCAGTGATAACATGTACCAAACCTGGGGTCAGAAACTTAACTTTTACCAAAAAGAAATCCTAGAAAGTCCACAAGGATTGAACAAGATAAACAAGAGAGGATCATGTAAGCTGGGACTGGGAAGATCACAGAACAAGAGCCAACACCAACATAACTAAGATATCATCTCTTCACCACATGGAAGAGGAGATCAGACCCAAGAGGGCTGCTTAAATGTTCCAGCTTACACATGCTGGCCTTCCATGGATCTCATGACATTGTTTCTGATGCTACAGTTAATCCCAGCACTGCCAGCAAAGAGGAGTAGAAAGCAGAACCCAATAGGGTGATTTCTCCTCCACACACTGAGAGGAAGACTCTAACTGGAAAACTGAGGTGTCAGTCATAAAAAACTTTTGGCTCCTAGCTGGTGTATGTATTGTTTTTTAGGCATTTTTTAGTATGATAAGGGGCTCTTATTCCATGGAAGTGGACTCCTCATAATCTGCTTACACTGTATTTCTTCTGCTTTGCTTTTGGCCTTTTGAGTATGTTTAATTATGGCCTGTGGCATGTCTATAGCATGTTCCATATGCCTGTGATGGTGATTAAAGGCCATGAAAATCCAGTCTTAGGGATACAATTTCCAATAACCCAAACAAGCCACAGTTCACACCTGCTGGAGAGCTATCTTTCCCCAAAGCTCATCATTAGAGATACACAGAGAAGCTACTTTTCAAACTATTTGCGGCAAGATAATGCTTGAGAAACATGAGCAGGGATGAGCCGCAAACTTGCAACCTAGTCCTACCTGCAGCAGAAGACAGAAGGCAACATTGCTTAGAGGCCTTTCTTGGCTTTGGCCTTTTTGATAAGGAAAAGTAAGAAAAACAGGTCAACAAAAGAAGAAAAAGAAAAGAAAAAAAGGTTAGCCAGGCCTGGTGGCACATGCCTATAAGCCCAGCACTTGGAGGTAGAAGCAGGAACTCTGGTAAGTTCCAGGTCAGCCTGGTCTACATAATTCCAAGACAGCCAGAGCTACCTACATGGTGAGACCCTGTCTCAAAAACACAAGGGAGGTGGAAAAAACAAACAAACAAAAAAGCAAGAAAAAAACAGGTTTTTTTTTTTTTTAGTCCATAAATAAGACCTTTCCTTCCTTCCTTCTTAGTTATTTCCTAGTTTTCTGTAGTTAGCATAGCTTTATAATTGCAAAATCAATGTTATTAAAATTCACAAAGCTACTTAATGACCCCAGCTTGCAAATAAGCTGACTGCAGTGTGTGCCTGGCCAGAAGTCCTCACCCAGAAGAGCTAAGTGCAGACTGAGGTGGGCCTGATGAAGATGAGGCTGTACCCTGATGGCCTGCTGTTATCTTTTTAATCTAATTTCCATCCAAACTTTGAAGCTGAAGATCTAAAGCTCTGTATCATAGGCATCTTAATTTCTGGTCACTAAGTACTTCTCACTTATAAAATCAAACAGCTGATTTTAAAAAATTCTAGCATTTTCCTTGTGTGGATTATATGTTGTCGTCCCCCCCCCCACCCCCCAGCAGAGATATAACAATGACTTCATGATTTCAAAACTAAGATTAAAAAAAAAAAAAAAAAGCCCTTCAGCTTCCTTGGACTCTTCTGAGGCTGAAGACTCAGTCGTGCATAAGTTTTAGAATTGGAAACTTAGGAAAAAATTGTTTTCACTTCAAAAAGAAAAGTAGGGACTGGAGAGATGGCTCAGCAGTTAAGAGTACTCAGTAGCTGTTCTTCCAGAAGACCTGGGTTCAATTCCCAGCACCCACAGGCAGCTCACAACTGTCAGTAATTCCAGTTCCAGTGGATCCAATGCCTTCACACACATAAACATACAAGCAAAGTGCTAATGCACATAAAAATAAATAAAATTTAAAAATATACAGACCCCCAAACAAAATCTGCTCAGAGAAAACGTCACACTACTTGGCAACCTCTCAACTAAGCTGGCTAGACATGAAGAATAACTCATACTCCATGACCTGATTTAAAAGACATTGCACACATGTCGAAGGCCACCAGCTTA